ATAACATGCTGCAGAAGGGCTTGCTCTGAAACGTGTGTTAAATTAAAACCTGCCTGCAACTCTAGAAACCACATAGAAGTGAAGGGGCTTATAGGATAAGCTGTCAGAATCATCAGATTTTCTTACTTCCTTTTCTCTACCCATATTGTAATTCAAGTCAGCATATGAACTACAGACTCACATTTAAATTCTAAGACTTCTTTCTAGCCAATATATTTTTAAATAACATTAGTTTTCCACAGAATTGATGTACTGAATGATGTAGCTTGGAAACGCTTTGTTTCTGTAGTAGTGTCTGCTTTTTTGCAAGTAACATTTTATTTCAATGACATGTTGCTCGGAAAAGGTGAAAGAAGGTCTATGAACATTATCACACAACACAAGGACAGAAAAAGGGTTAAAACCAAAGTCCAGTATTCAAACATCATGCAGAACTACACAACTCCACAGTAAAATAAAATGGTTAAGGTTGGAAGGGACCTTAAGGATCATCAGGTTCTAACCTCCCTGCCATGAATAGGGACACCTCACCCTAGACCAGGTTGCACAAAGCCTCATCCAACCTGGCCTTGAACATCTCCAGGGAAGGGGCTTCCAAACCTCCCTGAGTAACCTGTTCCAGCAACTCACTACCCTCAAGGTGAAGAATTTCTTCCTGATGACTAGCCTAAAACTCCCCTCTTTCACTTTAAAACCATTACACCTTGTCCTATCACTGCTCTCTCTGGTGAAAGTCCCTCCCCATCTTTCCTGTAGCCCCTACAGGTACTGAAGGTGCTCCAACATCTCCTTGGAGCCTTCCCTTCTCCAGGTTGAACAGCCCCAACACTGTCTCCAGAGCAGAGGTGCTCCAGCTCTTTGATCATCTTTGTGGCCTTTCTTTGGACCCTCTCCAACAGCTCCACATCTTCCCTAGAGGAAAAAAAAATAATCTAGAAAATCTAGAGGTGGATTCCTTTCATAAAGAAAAAACTCTCTCAGCATAGTTTGGTGTATAGAGGGTGTTGTCATACAGGTCACACCACATTTTGGGAGAAGGTGCTGCTGACATATGTCAGGTGGCCAGGTAACTTTCATTTCTTGAACAGATGGCCCCAGGGCAAGATGGGCCGAGTCATTCTGAAGTGTAAAGGAAGTCTCCTCATTTTGCAAAAGGGCCACAAGAAATACAAACAGAGAAATAAAAATCTCTTGGTGCTCCCATTTGTAAAGGTCTTTTTTTAAAACTTTGGTGCAAAATTAGTGAATATTTGCAGGAAATTAAAAATACTACAATGTCAAAATAGAGTATCCAGGCCAAAAAGGAACTACACAAAATGAGCCAAACATGTTGAATGACTGCAGGAATTCAGGAACTATTCATTGTCTCATGCAGCCCCGAGGAAAACATTGCAAAATGAGAGTAAATCTTTTTAAATGGTTGTCATCGATGTTAAAGACCAGGAATCTTTATCATCATTACCACAATTGTCTTCTTAGAGAATGCCAGTACAATGCAAAAACCATGAGACCCACCTACACTGTTTTCCCTTCATATCAGCATCATAAATCTAGTTATTACAGATCACTTATAGCCTATTAGGATGAGACAGCATTTGTTTACTTGATGGAGTGGCTGTGGGACACAGAAACTGCATCTTGTAGTTTCACACTACAGAAAATCAGACACACACATGCATTTTCAAAATCATGTGAGAGAACAGATGCAGCCCATCAAAAATAAAATTATGAGATCTTTATTATGTAGTTTACAATGCTTGAAACAGCATTAAACTAATTAATGCACTATTGCAGCCAACTTCCAAACTGGTATGTTAAAAGAAAGTCAGCTGAGAGAACTTATTTTTCAACAAGCAAGCAAAGTAAAAACCTGTGGAACTCAATAAAATGCTTTAGATCAGTAGATTCCAGTTAATGAGAGCATCTGGAGCTGCAAATCTTGCTGCTATTTTCAGAATGGGCAAGACAGTGATTTACTCAAGCACAGATAAGCAACCTGTCAGTGTCATAGAAGGAGACTGAATCTTCCTATTTGAGGGTAACTTTTCTTAATAAAACTGGTTTTCACTCAACAACTTAATTAACATTCAGAGCTCAAAGCTCTAGGACTAGGTGAGCAGAAAAACTCTTACCTGTCGAACAGAGGATTAAATTATTGCTAGACTGACTAACCTGTCACAAAATATCATGGGATGAACCTCATCATACCAGGACTTTTGCTTATGTGAGGCTGCTTACTGATTATTTATTAAAATAGCCACTACTTAATTTAAAAACATAGTTCAGAATGTGATATCACCGTAGTCTTCTTCAAGATTTTAGTCACTGTGCCTCTCTGACTACATTTTTTGCCATCAGCACAGCTTCAAGCACAGTAGCTTCTTATTGAAGAGAGTTCCTACTCCACAGGAAATTCCTACTCCACAGTTCTCATGATCAGAAATGGGAAATATTATTAAAAATATGTTTTGGGAAAAAAACCCACAACATTTAATTAACTTCAAAACAGCACAAATGGTTTTAATGTCAGAAAGATACAGAGTTATAAGAAAACTCACTAGAATCTGCATCTTTAAAATTCAGCAATATTCAGATTAATTTAATTTTGCGTAATTAATTCTTTTTATTAAGATAAAAAAACCTCAATATAAAATGGAAATGCTTAATTCAGCTGATTTTTTTTTTTTTTATTTTTTTTTCTGACTCATAGCTTCCTCCTATCACTGCTTTCTACCTTTTGAAAGCCACCAGAGCACAGGGGAAAGCCACCAAGGCCTCCAAGCATAGGCCTGCCCAGCAACAGACAAAATCTGTTCCACAGCAGATAATGACTTTGTACCTCAATGAATTAGACTCAGGCTTCTCAAAGCATGATACCTCCTGCTCTATGGAGCAACCCTGCTTTTAGCTCAACACTGTATAAATTACATGCAATGCACAGGCAAGCACCTTAAGCACTTACATTTGAGACTTGCTAACCCTTATCTTGAACCCATTAGAGCCTGACCTCACACACAGAAAATTCAGTTGCCATCAGAACACCAACCCATCTCAGGCTTTCAGATTTGTCCCCAAATGCATGGTTCAATAACAAGATAATTTCTCATTTGTTTTGTTTGAATAAGGAGCAATACATTTTTTTTCAATTGAATAATAACTACAATCTATTCTGCTTGTGCTTGCTATGCACTGGTGCAAGCATGAAGAGGAACTAGCTAAGTGTCTGTTGCCTGATATTTTTCATTATTATTATTCTTTTAAGATTCATGAGAGAAGTCTGTATAAACATAATCCAAGATACAAAAACAGGTTAGTGCTCTGTTGTACAACAGTTACCTTAAATACCTTATTATAACATACAATTACTTCTAGATACAACAGACAACAAACCAAGTTTCTCCTCATCTACATTACATACTTCCCATGCTTTTCTAACTGTGATGTCAAAAAAAAAAAAAGAAGTCTTTTAGTAAAAAAATAAACCTGGAAGAAATACTTCTCACTCATTCTATGATTTCATTCTTATACCAGTTCTGGACTTTTTGTGTGCATGCACTTGAAATGAACGGTCACCAATTACTGTCATGCAACTTGTCTCCCTACTTCACACTTCTCCTGTAAATAACAAATACTTTGCTTTCTAAATCATCTGCATGCCTAATGATAGCAACTGGCTGTAAGGAAAGGAACATCAGGAAATTAGTAGTGCATGTAAGAAAGAAAGTGTCAAATTACCAAAAACACTTTCCCCATCACTGTGAAGGCCACTTCCTCACTCAGTACACACATTTAGAACAAAATTTAAGGTCTGATTTTATAGGAACCATGACCATCTGAGCAAAATAAAAATCAGTTTCCTGACAACTACTTAGTATCCATCTCTCTCAAGAGGCAGGCAGGACTTTCCTACAGTTTTTATATACTACATAATCTGAGCTACAAGACACACTGTCATCAGGAAAGTCAACATTTCCTATAACCTTCCCTAAGGATAACACATGCATTACCAGACTGAAACCGTGCATTTCCAGACTGGAAATCATTCTCATATTAAATACTCCTGTGCCATCTTTCCACTTGAAAAAACAGCCCAGCCAACACAATTCTAACCACGGTATTGTGTCAAACTGACTTATTTCCATTTCAATAATTCTGTCTGATATTTTTCCTCTTTTGCCAGACAGGTGCACCATCAAAATAATCCTGAGATCAGTCTTTCTGAAGAGTTGTGATTAAAAGATCTTATCCAGTCAGGTATAGCTGGACTGAGCATTTCAGCAGCTTCTCACATGTTTCTCAGAGATTACCGGGGGAACTTTCCTTAGAAACATCTAGATGGAAATGAGACCTACCAACCTTCCACTAAGAATTTTTAGCACATATTTTGCTGTCAGGTATTTAAAAAGAATCACTGGATTTCTTATCTAATGCTATCCCACCCATTCTCTTTTCTAAATAACGTGCCATAGTCCTGGAGACATCAAGTCTTAGCATTAATAATAACAATTTCCAAATCCTCCAACACTAAATGGTTTTGAGGACTTCATACATTTTCAGCTCTGCTCTTACTTATTTGCCTCAGGTCTGTCCAGAGAGCTTCTCCCTCCTGGATAATTTACACTGACCACTTTCACAGCACAGGTACTAAAATTGTATTTCCCCTCACTACACTGGCCATCTGATCTCAGGCTTTGCACATCATATGCAAGTCAGTGGTGGGACATGAAGAGACCGTGTCCTGGTTGACAACAGCACAAAGTGTGTGCACGCCACTTCACCACAGGCCTTCTTGAGCCACCTTCCAAATTCATCCCAAGAGGTCCGTACACAGGGAAAAGGCCTCACACCACATTTACCTGTCTCACTTGTGCCTAAACTTTATGCCAGCAGAGGGCCAGCTAGGATGTGACATGTGGCACGGCACAAAGACTAATTAGAAGCTAAGCACCATACACAACACAGAGTAGAACACTATTACTGCTGTGCACTTGAGAGCCTACCTGTACAGGAGAAATCATCCACACGGACATATCCCATGACACAGTCACAACGATAGGATCCAGGCAAGTTAACACAGACAGTATTGGCATGACAATAATGCATCTTGGCAGCACACTCATCAATATCTGCAGAGAAAAGAACCAAGGAAAGTCACAGTCAGGCTTAGTGAAATGAGTAACATGACACAATATTAGAAAACAAGAAAATAATTTCCATTAACAACTCCAAAGGCAATCTGGTTTAACTCTAGCATTAAAGAAAAAGGCTAGCATAGTAGAAAGGTACTCCTTAACATAGAGCTATAAATCCTGTGTCATTGTAATGGATTCCTTCCACTGTTCTTCATTACATGCTCATATATTTTTTTAACTCTGGAAAGGTAACACATGCTTCTGGGTTTTTTCCTATGGCATTGTTAAAAGACAAAAATATGATTTTTCAAGCATATAAATCAGCTTCAGAAGTATGCAATACTGAAAATCCTAACTCTGTCTCATGGGTAAGCTAAGGTATGAGGGCACAGGAACTCTGCCCATCACAGTATCGGTTGCAGCACTGGACAGGTACAGGGTGGCAATGTTTGTCAGGGTAACACAGCAGATTCAACTGCAGAGTTATCAGTGTGTATTCCAGCCCTCCATGTTCACCCAGGTGCTCTGACAGTGCCCTGGCCCTGAAACACACTTCTGCTGCAGGGGTTACTGAACAGCACTCTGTGCCACTTCCACATCCCACACAAGAGAAAGCTTGAACCAGTCACCTAAACCCATTTTAAGCCTGCTTTCCATCATCCCAGTGGAAAAAAAAAAAAAAAAAAAAAAAGGAGTGGTAGCAACTTCACCCCATATCTCTGTTTGCTTAAGCAATCTCTGCTGCTGCAGCAAATCCAGAAGTCAAAACTGTTTTCACAATAGTGAATAAAACCTACCATTTACTTGCCTGTTTAAAATTCCCACAGCTCTGTGATATTGTAAACTGTAAAATCTTCCCCCTTCACAAAAACTAAGAATTTTATATTTTTTTTTTCACAGCAGGATAGATTTTCTGCTTAGCAGCACAGATTTTACATAAAGTAATTCATGGTTTTCAAAAGATTAATTCTAGCATTGCATATGTCCACACAAAAAGAGATGAATCAGGCTCATTTCTCCCCTCTTATTATTTTCTCCTTGTTATTGATTGCTCCCACTCAAGAACTGCATAAATTGACAACCCAGCTGAAAAACCTCCTCAGCAGGTGTGGTAAAGATGAGTTGGTCACAACCCCAGCCCCCAGTGTGGTCTCCTATCACATCCCTCTGCACAGCTATCCATATGGACAGTCTCCCTCCTCCTTCACCACACAGTGCTTATAGAGACACAATGGAAATGTGACCAGAGGTTAGTAACACAACATCAGGATTTAACCCCAGAAGGTGAGAGGGTTTAACTGTGCACGTACTGAGCTCTTTGTTGCCTAAATGTGGGTATCCTGTTTAACCTCCCTAAACCGAAGTAGCTGCAGTTGAGATATACCCACATTTTCCAGGCTCTGAAAATGAAACACATGCCAGCTCTAATCACACTTTCTATACTACAGACATCTGTCCAGTAGGAATGACTAGCTAAATCACTTCATGTTGGCCACCAAGCAGCTGTCAGATGGCAGTGATTTCTGACTGCTGCCAACTTGGGCTGAATTAGAAATGATGGCCTGGAGGCAAAAGACTTTGTATACCATTGCAAACACCTTGAACTATCTCATTCCTGCATTTCTGTTGTTTTTGTTGCACTGTCACTTGATTAAATGAATTTTTAAAAGTCAGGAGCATCAATATACGGAAGATAAAAGCCAAGAAAAATCCTCCCACACGTCTTGTTATCACACCACTGAGTGCTAAATCCACTTGGGAAACACTCAGGTGTTGACGTGTGTTCACACTGTTCTGCTTGCAGCCTCTTTTTAATAGGCTTTTGGAGCATAGCTTTGAGGAGTTTTGTTCTTGCATAGCTAATAATTCTCTAGCATAAAAGGGAAAGGAACAAAAAGATTCTTGAAAAGAAATAAAGAATGGCAATACAGCAACCAATATACCTGAAAATTAACTTAATGCACCACCCCCTATCTCCAGCTTCCTCACTGATTTCACTGGACAACACTCTTCCCTCTTTCTTACCCCAAAAGGAAGCAAAAGGATTCAAACTCTCAAAGGTGAAGGAATTAGAACTTTGCTTCATTGCAAGAAAGGTCCACATTACAGTAACACAAAATACGAGAATACCCAGAGATAAAAAGAAAACTCACAACCAGTATGAAAGTATTGCCGTGGAAGAATTTCTCAAAAGGACACTAAGGACTTCACATGATGACTTGACTATAAATAGATGAATTAAGAACAACTGACTTTGGGATTGCTGCAGAAGTCCTTGAGTCCAGGAAGAAAAAGGCTGGGCCTACCACAGATGCAGAAGAAACCAAAGATCCCTCTCCAAATTTACCTAATTTATTTAACTCTTCTCCACCACTCTTGGTGCATTTTCCATAAAACCTTTCAGCATTGCACATTTCCTTTTACCTTTGCAGTATTAGCCTTTTACTAGTACAAGCATTTCCTTCACAGAAAATAATATTAAGAGGTTACAACTGGCAATAGTATTTTCTTATTGAAGCCTGCAGGGCAATGCTAAAGCTGCAGTTCTGGACCACAGTTCTACAAATCCTTGTAAAAGGTTAGGTATCCATCACAAAAAAACTTTAGGTTTTTACTTAATATTGTTAGAGTAAAATCCATAAAGCACACAGTGGTATGGATCAGCTCAGCTGTAATGGAAGTCAAATTGTGATTCATGTGTATAGACTGCTTGTCGCATTTGAAATATTAGAGCTCATCTTCTAGTGGTCTTTTGAGGTAATAAAAATACATGATTTATGTTTCTCTCTAGACTGGTGAAGTAGTTTGTTTTTCTTTTAAAAAGGTATACTTATAGTCTTTAAAATGAGGCTTGACACACCATAATGAGCATTCACATATCACCAGCTTCCATCTACATAAGTTGGCTCTTTGCTATAACAAAGACATTTGGGCTTCAGCTTTTCAGTAGACCATCATATTACAGGGTGGGGAGGTCTGGTAACCAAGAGCTGTTCTACCGGATTAAGTGTTTTAACAGCTAGCAAAATAAGGCTCACTGCCTATGCAGAGCTCTTGACCACAGTACTCATCTACCCTACAGCTAATCAGTTATGACCATTACACCTTACAGTTCTAAAAAGTGTTTGTGAACTTACAGGCAAATAATACACATATTATCTTTTATTATTTGTGCCAGTGCACTCAGCAATGCTCTGAGGACACTGAGACAAAACACAAGAAAGTATCTCAGTGGAGCTACCTGCTTTGCACCTCATATGCTTTTTGCTGCACAGGAGGCACTCATCATCTCATACCAACCAACCAACACAAGATGGGATGGAAAGACAATACAAATGGTGTTCAACCCATGGCCAGTGGAAGAGGTTTTCTCATCTGCAAATGTACTTTACAAACCACTTAACTTTCATGCCAAACTGGAATCCTATTGCTAAATAACTGACATACTGAATCACAGAATCCTAAGAGTTGGAAGAGACCTCGAAAGATCATCTAGTCCAACCCCCCTGCCAGAACAGAATAGCCCAGAGCGCATCACACAGGAGCATATCCAGATGGGTTTGAATGTCTCCGGCGAGGGAGACTCCACAACTTCTCTGGGCAGCCTGTTCCAGGGCTCTGTCACTCTCACAGGAAAGAAGTTTTTTCTGATGTTTATGTGGAACCTCCTGTGTTCCAGTTTGCACCCATTTCCCCTTGTCCTATCACTGGACATCACTGAAAAAAGCCTGGCTCTGTCCTCCTGACACTCACCCTTAACATATTTGTAAACAGTGATGAGGTCTCTCCTCAGTCTCCTGTTCTCCAAGCTCAAGAGACCCAGCTCCCTCAGCCTTTCCTCATAAGGGAGATGTTCCACCCCCTTAATCATCTTTGTGGCTCTGCACTGGACTCTTTCAAGCAGTTTCCTGTTCTTCTTGAACTGTGGGGCCCAGAACTGGACACAATACTCCAGATGCAGCCTCACCGAGGCAGAATAGAAGGGGAGGAGAACCTCTCTTGACCTACTAACCACACCCTTTCTAATGCACCCCAGGATGCCATTGGCCTTCTTGGCCACAAGAGCACATTGCTGGCTCACATGAACATGACAAGGACACAACACATCACAACTAAGGCATTTTTTTACTGTTTATCCCTTCCAACAAAAGTCACACCAAATCACATGAATCTGCTGTAAAGAGGGCATAGTTCCTCTTAATGGCAATGGGAGTTCTGTTCAGTCACTGAAAAGGTGAAATGGATCCACTATTAGACCTGTAATGCCCACAAGTGAACAACCTTAAAGGAAATCACTCTGCCTCTGGAATTCCAGACCACTGTTCACCTGCATTTAATAATAATCCATTAGGACATTAGCAGTATCATCACCTGTTCTTAGGGACTTCACAGCTTAACTACTGGAAGAAAATAACATTCAAATCAAAACAAAATAAGCCAACTATGAAGCGTCCCAGAGCACCAACAGACGATGCATTTGGAAATCTGCTAAGTATCAGAATCAATTAATCCATTTGAAATTGGCTCCCAATTACTTGCTTTCTGGTTGGAGAGCGTATTTTCCCAAACTTAACTCTAATTTTCAAGCACTCTGTGAGGAAGCAAAGACAGGAGAACAAACACAAGGAAAACAAGGGCAACTATTTAGAAAGCTTTGATCTCTAACTCACGACTCTCAACTAGAACACATTATTAATGGGGGGTAGGCATGTAAATTCTCCTTCCCTCCTTTTTATTCAAGTTAATAGTACGTCTTGACTTGAACTGTATTAAAGCCTAGTGCACATAACCTGGATTTTTAAAGTACAAATCCAAACTCTACTACTGTTATTATTATAATATCAACCTTAAAACATGTTTGCAAGCTGATGGAATCCCATAAACAAAGTTTCCAAAACAATGGAGCACAACAGTAGAGGAGCATAAAAGAGGTCCTCAAATGCCGGTTGCCTTATACTTATGCAAAAGAAAACACATGCTATTTTCATTTCACT